AATTTCATCAAACTAGCTGAATTTTCCAAGGGTTAAGAGTGGCCACAGTCTGTATCCAGATCAAATATTTGGGTATATTGAAGGGTAACAGTTGATAGATTGTGTGGGGACACAACTGGCATGGAAACAGGCGGAGGGGTTATTAAAAAGAGACTTGAGAGAGAAAACTGATTTGCTGGCAGGAAAAATGTAGTTGTTCCAACTGCAAGGCTGGCAGTGAAACAATATAAAACCCAGAGTGAGCAAAACAGATGCAGCCGAGGATTTGGGGAAATACACAGAGGGAGAAGGAGGACAGGATAAAATTGCAAGTGGTATGTTAGCAGGGCTGTCATTTCTTCAAAGGTGAAGGTAAGAAATCTGAACTTTTTTTATCAAGTCAGAAGCCAAAAGAAATTTGAAAGGAGGGAGGGAATGGCAAAAGCATGAGACTCTTTTAAACTCAGGCATTACTGCTGTACTGGAAGGCAAATACTGAGATTTAGAAAGAGCAGAAAATGGTTATGTTTTATGAAAAATCCAGCAAGCATAGTCGAGGTTTGAAAGAACAGAAATTAAAAACGGGAAGGAATGAATGCTTGTGATGTCAGAGGACAAAAGGTTAAGGGGGGTGTTGTGGATGACTCCGGGGTTTGTTTTTTTAAAATCACTGAACATTCAGAACTATTAAATGAAAAGCAAAACCCAGATCCTGTGTGGCTTCATTACATCAAGCACTGGATAAAGCCCATGTCCTTCCTTTATCGGAAGAGGCTTCAAGTATTTAAGAATATTATCTTAATTGCCTAATTTTATTTAAAATATCTGACACTGGTATGTTTGGACTCTGAAATAACCCTTATTCTTGTGGTAGAGTCTTATGATAGGGAATGTCATGTGCTCATAAAAGGGGATGGCCTCTGTAAAATGCCTGGTTATCACATTTGTGTCTTGGGGCTGGGAGGTCTTCTAGCTGGCAAGGTGAGTTTGTATTTTCCTTTTACCGTTTTCTTTCTGGATTTTTTTATTTGTTCTTTAAATGTTTATATCCTGACTAGCTGGATAGAGGCCCAAAACCATTGGATCATTATGGAAATGCTGAAATACTTTGCTGACCAGGGATAAAGTTAAGCATATCTATACAGTTCAGTCTGTTGCTTTGGTGAATCTCATTAATTTACTGAACTTACTGCTCATCCTCCTTAAACGCATGAGCTAAGCAATAGAAGTGTCCCGAATGCTGATCAGAACATTGCTACATCTCTGTTGCCCAATGCTAACGGTGCTGGAGGAGAAAATGAAAAGTTAACTTGCTTGCAGGGGAGAGCTGTTTGTTTTTGTTTGGCTGTGCCTACGAACATAAAAGCCTGGCTCGCTGAATAATCCATGAGAAGCTAAATGTCTGCCAGCTGAGGTCACAGAAATAATCCTGTAAGCAGTCTGCTGTAAATGGTAGACAGGGCAGACCTAAAAAAGGCAAAGAGCCCACAATCACGTTTCTGTACATGTACTGCCTTGGTCCCCACTGCCACATAATTCATGAGCTGTCTGATGCAGGACAGAAAGAAATGTTAACTTTAATGCTGCAGGTGGGGGAACTGAGGCCCAGAAAGACTGCCCAGCTGGACAAGGGTGGTTAATGACACAACTCTTATTTACATGTTCAACACCAATTGGAGTTAAGCAGCTTAATGCATTCATGGGGCTGAGCTTAAGGGCTTTCTTCCAGGAAGGCTTTGGAATAACCCCTGAATTTCAGCCCAAATCTCCTTTTTAATGCAGTGTTCAGAGACTATATGGTGTTAGGTGCAGAACAAAAAAGAGATAAAGCTGCAGCCTTTTCCCGGGTCGCTTTGGGATTTTTTTTTAAAGAAACAAACCCTCCCCAAAAAAGCAAAAAAAAGGGAGGTAGCAGCAGTTCCTCGATGCAGACAATCAAGGCTGAGACAATAAAAAGAGGCCTCTTTGTTTCCTGAGGCCAGGGAGAAAAAGATGAAGAGAGGATTTTTGTGCAATTTCTCATTCTTGTACTAAAAACCAGTGTTTGGGGAAGGAGTTCTTAGTAACCCATTGTCAAAGGTGTTCAGTGTCGTCAGGTGAAGACTGTGGAACGTGTGAAGATGTGGAAGGGACTGGGGATAAACTGTACCATGGGAGATGAGATGGCATGCACTGCAGAGCAAGTCCAACCCTTGACAAAGCAAGCCCGTTGGCCGACCGGGTTACAAATGTGTTTTGAGTTAGAGCTGCAGTTGATGTCACCAGAGTGAAACCAGTGTGTCCTCTCAGCTTGCCCCTTCTCTTGCAGAAGCACGACGGCCACTTCACAGTCATCCAGCTGGTGGGAATGCTGAGGGGGATTGCCTCTGGCATGAAGTACCTGTCGGACATGGGCTACGTGCACCGGGACCTGGCAGCGCGGAACATCCTGGTCAACAGCAACCTCATGTGCAAAGTCTCCGATTTCGGTCTGTCCCGAGTGCTGGAGGACGATCCTGAAGCTGCTTACACCACAACTGTGAGTCTGTCTGATCTCCTTGGAACAGCTGATTGCCTTGTGCCTCTCTCAGTCCAGTTTGGGGTTTGTTTGTGCCACAGCAATGGTAGTTGGAGTTGGCCTGGTTCCGTTCCCAGTCACGTGGTTCAACAAACACACTGGCAGTGCTGAGGGAGATTTGTTTTGATTTTTGGCTAAGGGAAGTATAGTAAAGTTTGGCAAACATTTATTTTAAGCAAATGTGCAAGTATAAGAGGGGGACCTTTTTCCTTCCTCTTGGGTTTGGTTTTGTTGGCTGTGGAGGGATTTTTCCCCTGACATTGCTGTGTTTTCTGTTAGTTTGTGTTGGTTTACAAAGAGATGTTTGTAAAAGAGAGGCATGGAGGAGGAGAGAATCTCACCAGTTTCACTGTTGGAAGCTTGGTGTTAAGCCTTGTGTTCATAAAGGAAAATTTTCATTTTATTTCACTTCAGCTTACCTTCTAGCAAGACCTTTCTTGGATGGTTTAACTCTCAGTTCATTAATACTTAAATTCCTTATGGGATGCAATTAAATTGTTACAATGGAAAATGGGGACAGTTTTTTCTCTTTGTGTCCACTGAAGTAAAAAATTCTTGAACATGAAGAAGCTTGTTCAATTTTGACTTAGATAAAAAATTCTAAATTGTACCTGCACTATAAAGAAAGTAGGGAAAGAAGTGTGTTGGTGTTTGCCAATAAAATGACAAGCTCTGATACAGCATTTTTTTGCCATGCCAAAATGTTCCATTACATTCCTGTTACAGTTATTATCACAACATTAAGAATTTTGGCTAATTATAAGCTGATTGCAAGTTACTTTCATATCTGTCACTGAAATTAAAGTATTACAGGGAGTACTCTGAAATAGCACTCTCATTAGTACTCCCAAAATGCACAGAATTTGTGTGTTCCCATGGTAGGGCAGTCAAAAACAGTTTTAAAGAGAGATGGAATCTCACATTTCAGCCTGGAGAAGGAAAGAGGGAGGACAGGGAGGAAAGAAGTGGGAAATCAGTAAAAAAGTGTGGATTATTTTTAAGCTGTCACGCCTTCCTCTGAAACATCTGGTAGGGCTCCTGCTGCAGGTTCCAGAGTTTGGATTGTGCTGGGAACAGCGCTGATAGCACAGGGATGTTTTCCTTTCTCTGAGCACTTGCACAGCCTGGAGGAATTTCCTGCCTTTGACCCCCAGCCAGCAGTGAGGAGTCTGAGGAGGGCACAGGAAGGGAGGGGACACAATCAGCACACAGTTAGCCAGGGGAACCTCTACATACAAAATATTTCCTGTCTTCTTCAGCCACATCTTGACTACTAGGATGCTGATCTGCAAAAGTATTTTAGTTTAATAATTTGTGTTTTATTATCTCCCTTCAGAGTATGGGGATCCGATTCACCTTTTCAAATAATCTCTAGTTTACTTTCTAAAGCAAAAAAAAGAGATCATTTTCCAGTTTTGCATTTTTCTGCAGTGTTGAGTTTCTGATTTTGCTTTGTAGCTGTCATACTCCATTAGGGGATAACTAGCTGGATTTTATTTTTAATTCATATACGAAGAAACATTAAATAAAATATGTGTCATCAAGGACTAGAAGAGGGTTTATGGGACCACTGGTTCTTATTTTATTCTTTATTGTTAGGAACCAGAGAGAATAGCAGAAAACTATCAGTATAACTTTGTGTGTCCTGTAATAGAAATAAATTAAAAATCTATGTTCTAATTTGTAGTTTAATCACAATTTTAATCTGTTTAAATCTGCAATTGCCCCTGCTTTGGGAAATTAAAGTTTCATTACCAGAAGATACTGGTTGGTTGAAGGGGTTTGAAGTGCACCTGGTTTTTTTGGACACTACATGGCCAGTCAAAGACATGAAGCAGCTACCCCTGTGTTTTGGTTTTCTCCAGACAATTTATAATTTGTTTGAATGGAAGATATTGTCTGTATTTCCAGAACTGTAATTGCCATTGCTTCTGGGGAGCTAACGGTGCAACCAGTACACTGGAAAAGGCAGACATGGGGCAGTGTTCCCTGCAGGGCTTAAGTAATACCTTGCATTGCCTGAGAAAAAAAACCACTGTAAATATGTTTTTATTCTGCTATAGCCTGGAATGAAGGATTAGATATCAAATGTGTCAAAGCACTGAGTAGTTTTAACATTACCAGAGTTGCTGTTAAATAATTAACTGGTAGAACACCTAGAATTTATCTGGGGGGAAAGTGATCTTTCTTGACTTGTGGCTATATAGCTAGTGGAGAAAAAGGGCTCTTTTTCCCCCTTACAGACAGGGTCACCTCCCAGGCCCAGCTTTGGTGTAAGATGCAAAACTTGCCAGCATTGAATCCATAGAAACAGGCAATGTTACATCTCTGAGCAAACCTTGAGCAGTTATGCCAGGACTGAGGAGGGGGGAAAGCCAGTGCTCTTGCAAATAATTTCTGAAATAGGAGTTCCATGAGGACTGTGAACCTCAGGAAGCTGCAGGTGGTGTTTTCAGAAGCATTACAGATTGCCCGAGGCCCAGAGTCACTGAGCTCTCAGCTGGCCATGGGAACCCTGGACAATCCTCTGGGCACACTCTTCTCCTGGGAAACCAAGGCCAGTAGAGCCGAGCATGTGTGTGTATACCTGCTCTGTGTACTACAAACAGCCAGAGTGTTTTACTGTTAGCTCTTCACATTGCTAAGAGATTTTTTTAAGTTAGCAGTTATCAGAATATTAATCTAATTTCAAACACAGCTGGGATTTTAGTCCCATATGGATTTAATTGCATGCATTTATAATTTTAAATCAGAACTGCCACCTTCAAACTGTAATTGAGGAAGCTGTTGTAAACACGCAGAACATGCTTATACATTTTCAGTGATACCTCTTTTCACTCAGAACAATACTATGCACATTTAAGATTAAAAATGTAGGTGTACTGACACAAAATCTGGGTTGTTGCTTTGTTGCTAGTTCTGTGAATGAATGTAATCCTGAATGCCTGTTCTGTTAGACTAGCTAATAGTGGACCACAGTTCACTCAGTATTTTAATATTCAATGTGTTGGCCCACAAAGATATAAAATATCTTTACTCTGTTGGATCATACCTGCAGTCTCATTAAAGACTATTGGTACCTTTCAAAGATGGACCAAGAAAACTAAATTTGTTTACTGTGTGCTGTTGAAGTTAGGAGAGGTAAGCAATTAACTGGGAAAAGAACCATTCAGCTGCAGTGATCCAAAGAGCTCAGCTCTAACTCTGTTATTTAGCTAAACATCTGAGATAGGGGTGCACCTGTATTTTTATGGGGTGGAAGATTTTTTGCCTGGTTCCTGAGGAATTGTCCTATGTTATATTTGCATGTGACTGGCTAGACCTGTGTTTCTTAAGGAGTTTCATCCATTTGAAATTAATCAAATTAGAAAGAGGCAGTAAAATTTCAGAGACACTGTTTATATTTTCTTTTTTTCGTGAAAACAAATGGTGATATGGAGAACAAATTCTGTTAATTTAGCAAGGGTTTGACCTAACTGTTTTTGCCTGGAATTCTGATATCCAGTCTTCAAAACACAAAACTGAGATTCCTTTTTCTTTTTTTCTCACTTCCCTGAGGACTTCTGGGGTGTTTATCCTGTTTGTGGTTTGGTTTTGACATTTCTGAAGGTGAGGGGAGTCAGCATTGTTTTGATTTGGGTACAACCTAATGTTTGTTACAGATGATCCTTCACAAAGAAAGGGGGGGAATATCAGTGTTATGGAGATGCTGAAGTGCAGTCTATACAGCTTTATTGAAAATGAATGAGGCAAATGAGTTTGGATGCAGAACACTTAGGAACACTGAGGCTCTTCTGCCAGGGAACAAGAACAGGACAAGAGGAAATGGCCTCAAATTGCACCAAGGCAAAAATTCTTCCCAGAAATGGTTATCAGGCACTGGAACAGTCTGCCCAGGGCAATGGCTGAGTCACCATCCTTGGAGATGTTTAAAAGGTGTGTAGTTGTGGTTCTTTGGGACATGTTTAGTGAGGGGTCAACAGGTGGACTCAATGATTTTAGAGCTCTTTTCTAACTTAAATTATTCTATCAGTAATGTTGCACACCAGGAAGGTCTAGGAGACGTTAGTGATAGAAGAGTTTGCAGATAAAGGAGGATATTTTCACATTCCTTAGCTACTCATTATAGAAAGAATCTTGCAAAGGGTAGACCCAGATAAATGGGAAAGGGTGGAGTTTTAGCTTGGTGTGATTTTTGGTTTTGTGTTTAGATGTGCAGTACTCAAGTTTCATCATCCCTCTTTTGCTCCTCAGGGCGAAACTATGGCCTGATTGCTCTTGATGTGACATCAAGGTTTTGATATTCACTTCACCTAGAAGGAGGAAGTCAAAACCACACACATCTCTCATGCTTATGACTTTTTCTGCTCACTTTAATATTAGTTCTAATATTTCTCCTGTACATGGTATCAAAGTTATTGTAAATGGGATTCTGTAATTCCAGAAGGGAGTTTCTGAAGCAAGAGAGGCACATATGTTAAACTTCATCTACTTCTGTATTTCTGTAACAGAAATGTTAACTTCCAGTCGAGACTGACCTAGTTATTCACCTGAATTAATCCCTGGTGAAATCAACTGCAAGAATTTTCACTGACCAGGTAGGAACTGTGATTTGCCCTAAATCAGAAGGATAACTACAGAAAGAAATTGTGCATTGTTTCCTTACAAGAATGAAAGCCAAACTATTTTCAGTCCTGCACAAGCTCTTGGGAATCTCACTTGGGCACTTTTCTGTGTTTATCAGGTTACCAAAGCCTTGCAATGGTAAACTTTTAGTCTCTTGGACTCTTTCTAGTCCTGCTCTTTGGTAGACTTTCAAGTTAGGAGCTGCGAGTTCTTGCTCCATTACACACATGGGGAGGTGGGGAAGATGATTCAGTTCACTGTTACTGTGTCTTCCTTTACCCAGAATGTCACACAAATATTGTGCACAGTGGTTGTCTGTCTCACAAACGTGTTAG